GGAGTTCTAGAAGTGCACTACTAGTTCAGGACAGAGTCCCTCCCTCCTCTTTCCTCAGCCTCACTAAAACTGTACTGGGGTGTGTGAATCTTATCGCTGTGTGGTGACGCAGCTTAAGCCAACACCTGCCATGCCGGCACCCTATTTCAGAGTGCCAGTTCCAGTCCCAGCTGCTCTGCTTCTGCTCCAGCTCCCTACAGTGCACCTCAGAAGGCAGCAGAGGCGGGCCCGAGTGCTTGGGTCCCTGCCGCCTATGTGGGAGACCTGGATGGAGTTCCTGCTTCCTGCTGCCAGTCTGGCCCAGCCTCATACACTGGAGCCATCTGGGGAGTGAACCAGTGAACAGAAGATCTATTCTCTCCCTCTCCCTCTCTCCCTCAACTCTGCTTCTCAAATAAATAGTTTTAAAAAAACACCATGCAGGCCAGCGCCGCAGCTCAATAGGCTAATCCTCTACCTGCGGCACCAGCACCCCGGGTTCTAGTCCCGGTTGGGGCGCCGGATTCTGTCTCGGTCGCTCCTCTTCCAGGCCAGCTCTCTGTTGTGGCCCGGGAGTGCAGTGGAGGATGGCCCAAGTGCTTGGACCCTGCACCCCATGGGAGACCAGGAGAAGCACCAGGCTCCTGGCTTCAGATCGGCGCAGCACGCCGGCCACAACACACCAGCCATAGGGGCCACTTGAGGGGTGAACCAACGGAAAAAGGAAGACCTTTCTCTCTGTCTCTCTCTCACTAACTCTGCCTGTCAAAAAAAAAAAAACAAACACTGCGTGGATTTCAATGTTGCACTCTCTGAAGCACCACCATACTGCAGTATCCTTCTTCTGAGAACTGCACTTGGGTATCACTCAACAACTTGTCACCTTCAGCTTGTGTCTGCTCACTCCCTGCCACATCAACAACTGAAGGCCACAAACATGCAAGAACTCCTTAAGGGACTTGCTGTTCAAAACGGCCATGGCTACTGCTCAGCAAACACGCCAACCGTGCCAAACCTCGTGTACGCTTTTCTGAATTTATTTAATCCTTTAATTATTAATTAATTTAATTATGTGCCATCCTATAGCGCTCATAATCTAATTACTTCCATTCTACAGATGAAGAAACTGAGGCATAGTTAAAAGCATTTTCCCGAGGTCACAAAGTGACTAAGAGATGGGGTCGGGGAAAGACAGGATTTAAACCAGGCAGTCTGGGGCTGGTGCTGTGGCACAGTGGGTAAAGCCATCGCCTGCAGTGCCGGCATCCTGTGTGGGCACCAGTTTGAGTCCCGGCTGCTCCACTTCTGATCCAGCTCTCTGCTATGGCCTGGGAAAGCAGTAGAAGATGGCCCAAGAATTTGGGCCTCTGCACCCAAGTGGGAGACCCAGAAGAAGCTCCTGGCTTCAGATCAGCCATTTGGGGACTGAACCAGCAGATGGTTCACTCTCTCCCTCTCTGCCTCTCTGTAACCCTGCCTTTCAAATAAATAAATAAATCTTTAAAAATTACTCCTGTAAATATTTTTTAAAAAGAATAAAAAAAAAAAGGCATTCCAGCACCAGAGTATCTAAGCCTAACCACTACTCTCAACAAGCTCTTTAAAAATACTGATTTAGGCGCCGGCGCCGCGGCTCACTAGGCTAATCCTCCGCCTTGCGGCGCCGGCACACCGGGTTCTAGTCCCGGTTGGGGCGCCGGATTCTGTCCCGGTTGCCCCTCTTCCAGGCCAGCTCTCTGCTGTGGCCAGGGAGTGCAGTGGAGGATGGCCCAAGTGCTTGGGCCCTGCACCCCATGGGAGACCAGGAAAAGCACCTGGCTCCTGGCTCCTGCCACCGGATCAGCGCGGTGCGCCGGCCGCAGCGGCCATTGGAGGGTGAACCAACGGCAAAGGAAGACCTTTCTCTCTGTCTCTCTCTCTCTCACTGTCCACTCTGCCTGTCAAAAAATAAAAAAAATAAAAATAAAAAAATAAAAAAAAATACTGATTTAAAAAAAAATTTATTTTACTTATTTGAAAGGCAGAGTGACAGAAAGAGACCTTCTATCCATCGGGTCACTCCTCAGATGGCTATGATGGTTGTGGCTGGGCTAGGCCAAAACCAGGACCCAGGAACTCCGCCCAGGGCTCCCACATGAGTGCAGGGACCCAAGCACTTGGACCACCGTGCACTTTCTTCCCGGGCATATTAGCAAGGAGCTGGCTCGGAAACAGAGCGGCTGGGATCAGATGGACATGGAACTGGCGTCGCCCGCAGCAGCTGAACTTGCTGCACCACAACACCAGCCCTAGAGAAGACTGTTTGAACACTGTGGAGATGTATCTGCTGGTGACTGCGGATACGGAATCATAAACATCACAGGCCTCTTAAAGGGATCCTCAGAGACTGTGAAATCACCATCCACGAAGTCCGCCCCCTTGCCTTTGGGCAGGGCCACAACCAAGTAATCAGACCTGGTGAAAAGCCTCCTGAGATCAAAATCCCACAGCTGGGGCTCACAATTCAATCCAGAGTCCAACA